TATGGGATTTGCAGGCCCCAGAACCCCGGGGCAGCACTACTTTGCTCCCAGCTCTTGGCCTGTGAGGGGCAGAGGCTCGACTTGCTCCATGGAGCCTGGCAGGTGTGAGGAGCCACTGTGACACAGAAAGGATACTGTCCTCAAACTTGTACACGTGCTCCGGCCTGTCAGCATCCTCGTGGCACGGGGGCAGGAAGGCAGAGATGTTCTGCACATCATCCTGGGCCACGTCCTTCACCAGAGCTTGGCAGGGAAGCAGGACAGAAGCATTGGGATCAGGCTAACCAAAATGCACAGTACAGGAACACAACCTAAATCCTTCCTTTTAGGAAGACCAGTCCAGACTAGAGCAACATCTAGGAAAGAAGGGCACCAAGATGTGGGCAGAGCAGAGTTTTGGCACCTGGGTTCCAGGACACCCACTTGGCACAAAGCAGCTCTGAGAGCAGAGTCAATCCATCCTGGGACAAAAGAGATGAAAGGTGGTGGGGTCTAAGCCAACAGACATCTCTCCTGTTCATGCCAGTGACACTCTCAGGATCCAGCAGTGCTCTTGGCTGCCCTCCTGCCCAGATGTCCACAGTCAGGACAGCCCCAGCTCTCTCCTTGCTTGGAAGCCCCCAGGGATGGTGACACCACACTGTACTGTGACCTGTCACAAGGCTGCACCACTCTCTGAGGTAAGAACAATAACGCCACAGAGTTCAGACCAGGTAAAGGCACTACCTTTATGCCAGTGAACTCATATCCCACAGGAGCTTCCAAAGCAGGCAGGACGGACACTGATATCCCAGGAACCCTCCCTCATTCAGAGCACTCCAACACCAAGTCCAGAAGGACCAGAAAGAAGCAGTTCCTCTACATGTACCTATCCCAGCTGTTAGACCAGCTACTTCCTCATCACTTAAAGAAAACCCCTCTTTTTCCTGCCACACTTGGCATGGACAGACAGGAAAAGGCACTTCAGGCTGTCCTGATGACAGCCCAAGGCAGAATCCTCTCACCTGTGACTCCCTTGGCATCTATAACGTTGGCAGCTGCTTTTGTCACAGCTGTGGTCACAATGTCGTTGCCCACAGCGTTCATGCGGCGAGAGCTCAGAGCTCGTTTCTGCTTGCTGGTTCCGAAGGCCTCAATGCACAAATCCATCTACACAGGACACAAGCACACCTTAGAACACCCTGTGCACCCAGCAGAACACAAAACCCACTGCTCGCTCCGCAGCCGTGGTCTGTACGAAAACTTTAAACTCTTCCTGTGGCAAAACCCGCAGGAGCAGGATGAGAGGGGCAGGAGGTCACTGGGACCAGCCGAAAATACCCAGGAAAATACTCCTGAGCCAGGCAACGACTGTGCTGCCTCCTGGACACGGGGAGAGTGCTGGTCCTGCACAGGTTTACCCTGCGGGCACCAAACCTGCCAGCCTCAAGACGAGCATCTGCCCCTGACAGCCAGGTAATCACAGCAGAACATGACACAGCTTCAACTTTACCTTCTCCCTGTAGGACTTGGTCTGATAATCCCTTGTGTCGTCAGGCAGGGGGTTATCTATAAAACAACAGCAAAGTTAGTGTGCTTGGACAGAAGCGGCCAGGATGGGAATTCCTGAAGCTCTGTGACTGACAGACTTGGCACAGCACATCTGGATCTCCTCCATGTCACCTGCCTAATTAAAGGACACACAAAAGGAGCTTTTGTTACAAAGCCCGTGGGTGCAATACATGGACTATGGCCAAGCCCACGTCCTGCTGCACAGGGTAAAAATCAGCTACCAAAAGATGCGATCTTTTGGGTTCTTATCCTGGGTTCAATGACAAAAAACAGTTCTGCTGGATAAAACCTGGGTTTTTGTTATTCAGGGATCTAATTCTTGATGAGTCTCAGGCCTCCCTCAGCAGAACACACCCAGACAAGGCTGCACTTGAGCAGTGACACTCTGTGAGTGACTCCCAGCCTCCACACTCCCTGCTTAACCTCCACCCTGGACTCGCTGTGCTCCCCCCTCCCTCCCAGCATGCACAAGTGAAGGAATCGTCCTTGTTCCATGCCAAGGGAACAAGGCAGGAATGAGAAGGACAAAGCAACAGAGCAGCTGTGACTCCCAGCACCTCCCACCTGAGAGCAAGGGCTTCATGTTGAATATTTCAGCATTGTAGACCTCCATCTGCCCAGAGTTCTTGTCTAACACACCAACGAAGTACCTGGGGAGAACGGGGACAGTTGATTAGTGAGAGGCAGAGCAGTGGAAATTATTTAAATTACATGGTCCTTTCACATCCTGGCATCCCTCCTGCCTTGCACATGCAGTGCTGCAATAAACCAAGTTACCTACAAGGCATGTGTACATATGAAAACAGAAAGATTTGCTGCTCTAAGAAAATGCAGAAATCTTAAAACAACTGAATTAGGTGAAGTGTAGATGCCAGGCTATTTTCTTTTGCCTTTTTTTGCTATGCCAAGACTTGATGGCCATAGCTTGAATAACAGCCGAAGTTCCTTGTAGCTCCCAGAGCTCAGGATCCCCAGACGTGCAGGCAAGCACCACTGCAGCCCCCCAGAATCACCTGTTCACCAGTGTCCAGAGGTAAGAGCACTTAAACCTGCCCACAAGCAATGCTGCATTAACACCCGTACCACACACATCTGCTGAATTGCATTTATCTCTTTTTTCATTGGTGCTCTTTTTTTCAGCTGCAGTATCTCAAACTGGAAAATGCTCTGAGGATCCATCTCTCCTGGTTTCATTGTTCAGGCAGAGCAGAGGTTGGTAGGGGCATGTTCTGACAGACTCTGCAGAAGTGAAGCCAGCTCCTTGTACAGAATTACAGAACATCTCAGCTGGAAGGGCCCCACAGTGATGACCCCTTCAGCATTGACCAACTGATGATAATGGCAATTTCTTAGTAAGAAAGCTCCATCCTGCTACTACACTAATCCATATGCTCACCCCAGACCTCACAAGACATGTTCAAACTGGTTTGTGATTTACACATCACAGCTTCCACAAGATGTGCACGAGCAGCCGGAGCTTCCTGCCCAAATCCTCAGGGCCCCTCAGGCCCCCGTGTAAAGCTCTGAGACAGGAGCAGGGCGGGGAGCAGGAGCTCTGTTTCTGAGCAGCCCCTGTGCTCCTGGCCCCTTTTCCATACCTGCACAGGGAGTTGCACTTCATTGCCTCGCTGCCGAAGTTGTGCCCCACGTAGCAGAGCCGCTCTGTCTCCGACACCTGGGGAACCACGGAGAGCTCCTTGAGCAGGGGGCTGTGAGGGACCCTTGCTGCCTCTGCCCTGCTTCCCCTGGGGCCACCAGCTCTGCATCCCAGGCAGAGTGTATCAGCACAGCAAACTTGCACAACACCTCACTGTGACCACCCCTCCCTACTTCAGTTTAAAACGTGGTTCCCAATGATTCCTTTAAGCTCCAGGATTGCCAGGTGCCTGCAATTCACCAGCTGGAAAGTCAGAGCCAGCACTACCAGGAGTGTCCCAGCCACCATGTTTTCAGTGCTTTATGAGAATGGGTTGGTTTTCCTGCTGTGCTGTGCAGTGAATTTCCCCCAACAATTTGGGCTGAAAAGTTGTTTATTCCTTGAATGGAGAAGCAGCATCAGAAGGCACCTTCTGATTGTACCCTCAGCTCCCTCTTCACTATTACATCACTTTATGATGTAATTTGGCCAAATTGTGTGAACACAACACAATGAATTTCATTATCAAATGCACCTGACAAGCTGGGAAGCGACTCCCAGATGCTTCAGCTTGTCCCTGTTCTGCCAGCTCCACCCTGCAGTGTCCATGAGCCACATCACTGCCAGAGCCTCCTCTGGTTCCTCTAGAACCCAGAGATGCCCTGCACTAGGAACACATCCCTTTGGAACATGCTGGGCTAAACTTTGATAGTTTGTTTTTTTTTAATCTGCTGCAAAGCTCAGAATTCCAGAATGGTTTGGGTCAAAAGAGACCTTAAACCCATGCAGCTCCACCCCTGCCATGGCAGGGACACCTTCCACTGTCCCAGGGTGTCCCAGCCCCAGTGTCCAACCTGGCCTTGGGCACTGCCAGGGATCCAGGGGCAGCCTCAGCTGCTCTGGGCACCCTGTGCCAGCCCTGCCCACCCTCACAGGGAGGAGTTTTTTGCTCCAACCGGAGGGAGCTGCTGAGGCCACAGCCCTGAGGGCAAAACAGGGTCAAACCCCTCCGCACCCCACAGCTGGAATTGCTCGCTGGGGATTACACGTGGGAATTCCCCGGGCTGGGGCCCGGCCGCCGATCCCGCCGTGGTCTCTAACGGGCCCCGCAGCCCACGGGGCTAATTAATAACATCGACACTTTTATGCGATTTTGGCCATTATCTGGTTGTTGCCTACTGTATGTTACTATCACAATATCCTAATACTACTGCGACCCGACGGTCCGAGGCCGCCCCGCCACCTCAGGGCGAGCCCGTACCAGGATCCTGCGGTGCTTCTTGCGGGGATGCGCCGTGTCCCGGTTCCGGTACACGGTGAAGCGCAGGGAGTCAGGGCGCTGCAGCTTCCCATTGGCGAACCGCACTGCGGGAAAGGAAGCCCGTGAGATCCGGGGCCGGCCGCGATCCCCGAGGGGGGCCCGTGACCCGCCCCACGCCCCCGGCCCAGTCCCGCTCACCGAGCGCCGCCGGCTGCTCAGCCTCGGGGTCCCCGCGGTAGCGCCAGGTGGCGGAGTCCATGGCGAGAGGCCGAGTGAGGGGCTGCGGTTGGGATGCGCGTGCCGGTGCGGCTCCCGGTCCCGCTCCTCCTGTTCCCCCGCCTCTTCCGCCACTGCCTCCCGGCGTAGCAATAAGGTCAGCCTCGATTGGGCGAGATGAGACTCGGCCGCCGCGTATGAGTAACGAGGTCGTCGATTGGCTGTCAGTGGCGTCCGCGTCGCCAGCGGCCGGAAGTGACGCACTCGGTCGGCGCGGCGGGGCGGGGCGGGCGGGGCCGGAGCGGCGGGAGCGGGGCCGGTGCCGAGCCCGATCCCAGTCCCGATCCCAGTCCCGATCCCACTACCCACCCTGAGCCTCGCACGGCCCTTCCCGCACGGACACCGCAGGTGAGCGGGGCGGGGGGCGGCGGTGAGGCGGAGACCAGTGACCCCAGCGTCGGGGCGGGACCAGGGCTCTCCGGACTCCCCTTTATGTCCCGTGTGCGGCACAAAACGGAGTCTCCGGGTGCGTCTTCGCCGGTGCTGATGCAGCGCTGGGATGCAGGTGCTTCTCTGGGAGGCTTTGAGTGTTCCAGGTGATGCTTAAAGGAAACAAAACGGGGAAAATGGCACTGGCTTGAGAAGAGCATCTTTGAGCAGGAGACCCCTAGTTATCCAGCAGACAGTTATTGTCCTGGAGTTTTCAAAGGCTTTAAGTTACTTGATTTTCCCCATGCCGAGTATTTCAGGTGATAACTGGTGACTGTTTCCCTGTTCTGACTCCATCCAAGGGCACACGGTGGGATTTTGGGGATATCCTGTGTAGGGCGACAAGCTGGCCAGTAAAGACAGTCATGGGCAAGAAAGAAATAGCAGCAAACACATCCACGTGTGAGGATGGACTTTCTGAATCAGCAGACTTATATTTGGTCGCTCCTCAAAAGTGTAACTCTGGCCACTCTGGCCATGTGACTTTTTTTTTTTTTTTTTCTGCTTTGTGGTCTTGTGTCCATTGATGCTGGCACGTTGCTGTTGGAAAATAAACGTGAGCGCAGGAGCTTCTGTGTGTGTGCCTTGGACGTGCAGCCTTCCTGCTCACCAAATCTTACATTCTGCTGTTTTTTCACGAGGAAAAGACGAGATACTGCCGAGGGTCACCTAGGTAGTCTTGAAATGAATTTACTAAGATCTGACTCACGTTCTCTTACTGACAATTTAGGAGGAAACCACCCCTGACTCTTGCCTACTTGTGTTGTTGAGCAGTGCTTTGTTTTGCCAGCAGCCCTGGCGTTTCTGTGGAAGGTTGGCAATTATGTGAGCAGTGTATCAGAGGGGGCAGCAGGTTATTATTTTAATCGGATTTTTTTACAAACCAGGATTAAATGTTTTACTCACGGGTGTGAGGTGACCCACGTTGTCCAGTTTCCAGCACAGCTGCCTGTAGCATGGGTGGTGCTGAGGTCAGCTCTGTGGCAGAACTTGGATTTCCACTGCTTTTCCTTGTCCTCCAGACTGCTGGCTTTGATCCTGTGCCCATGTGGTGGTGGTAAACTCACACCAGTTATTGTTTGTCTGTCTTTTAGCTGTCAGCTTTCATCTTCACAGCCAGGTTCACTGCAGCCCGAGCAGGACTTCAACCCTAGAATCATACAACAATTTGAGTTGCAAGGGCACCTTGTCTTGTTCCACCCCCTGCCATGGGCAGGGGCACCTTCCACTGCCCCAGGGTGCTCCAAGCCCATCCAGCCTGGCCTTGGACACTTCCAGGGATCCAGGGGCAGCCACAGCTGCTCTGGGCACCCTGTGCCAGGGCCTCCCTACTCTCTCAGAGAACAATCCCATCTTCTGCTACCATCTTTCAGTTTGAACCCACTCCCCTTTCTGTTTCACTGCAGACCTCTAAATAGTCCTGTCCCACCTTCACTGTAGCCCTCTGCAGAGCTGGAAGGCCACGGTTAGGTCGCCCTGCAGCCTTCTCCAGGCAGAACAATCCCAACTCACCGACCCTTTCCTCACAGCAGAGCTGCTCTGCCCCTTGTGCCTCTGAAACTCAGTGACTCATACAGCGCTCTCTTCTCCCTTGCAGGATCATGGATTTCCCGGGGCACTTTGAACAGGTCTTCCAGCAGCTCAACTACCAGAGGCTGCACGGGCAGCTGTGCGACTGCGTCATCGTGGTGGGCAACAGGCACTTCAAGGCTCACCGCTCGGTGCTGGCCGCCTGCAGCACGCACTTCCGCGCGCTCTTCACCGTGGCCGAGGGCGACCAGACCATGAACATGATCCAGCTGGACAGCGAGGTGGTGACGGCCGAGGCCTTCGCCGCGCTCATCGACATGATGTACACCTCCACGCTGATGCTGGGCGAGAGCAACGTGATGGACGTGCTGCTGGCCGCCTCCCACCTGCACCTCAACTCGGTGGTGAAGGCCTGCAAGCACTACCTGACCACGCGGACGCTGCCGCTGTCGCCGCCGAGCGAGCGCGCGCAGGAGCAGAGCGCGCGGCTGCAGCGCTCCTTCATGCTGCAGCAGCTGGGGCTCAGCATCGTCAGCTCGGCGCTGGGCTCGGCGCAGGGCTCCGAGGAGCCGCCGGGCGCCGTGGGGCTGGCGCTGCCCCGGGGGCTGGAGCAGCGCGCCGCCTTCCCCATCCGCCGCCTGCACAAGCGCAAGCAGAGCTCCGAGGAGCGCGCCCGCCAGCGCGTCCGGCCCGCCCTGGACGAGCCCGTGCCCGACGTGGCCGCTGAGAGCGGGCAGCCCGTCGTGCACTCCCGGGAGGATTTCTTCTCTCCGGACTCGCTCAAGATTGTGGACAACTCCAAGGCCGACACGGTCGCTGATAACCAAGAGGACAACACGATCATGTTCGACCAGTCTTTTGGCGCTCAGGAGGACGCTCAAGTGCCCAGCCAGTCAGACAACGGCGGGGGGAACATTTCCCAGATGTCCTTGGCGTCCCAGGCCACGCAGGTGGAAACCAGCTTCGACCAGGAGGCTGCTGCTGAGAAGAGCAACTTCCCGTGTGAAAACCCGGAGGTCAGCCTGAACGAGAAGGAGCACATGAGGGTGGTGGTGAAGTCTGAGCCGCTGAGCTCCCCCGAGCCTCAGGACGAGGTGAGCGATGTCACCTCGCAGGCGGAGGGCAGCGAGTCGGTGGAGGTGGAAGGAGGAGTGGTGAGCGCAGAGAAGATAGAGCTGAGTCCCGAGAGCAGCGACCGCAGCTTCTCGGACCCTCAGTCCAGCACTGACAGAGTGGGAGACATCCACATTATGGAGGTGTCCAACAACCTGGAACACAAGTCTTCTTTCAGCATTTCAAATTTTTTAAATAAAAGCAGAGGAGGTGGCTTTGGTGCCAGCCAAAACAACGACGACAACATTCCCAACACCACGAGTGACTGCAGGATGGACAGTGACGCCTCTTACCTGATGAGCCCGGAGTCAGGGCCCGCCGGTGGCCACTCCTCTGCTGCCGTGTCCCACGTGGAGAACCCGTTCAGTGAGCCCACGGACTCCCACTTTGTGAGGCCCATGCAGGATGTGATGGGCCTGCCGTGCGTGCAGAGCTCTGGGTACCGAGCAGCGGAGCAGTTCGGCATGGATTTCCCACGCTCGGGCCTGGGCTTGCACTCGCTGTCTCGGGCCATGATGGGCTCGGTGAGAGGCGGGGCTGGTGGCTTTCCTGGCTACCGCCGCATTGCCCCCAAAATGCCGGTGGTGACGTCGGTGCGGGGCTCGCAGCTGCAGGAGAGCTCGTCGGGGTCGCAGCTAATGATGAACGGCAGCACTTCCTTCGAGGGCGGGCACCTGTCGCAGCCGGGCCCGCCGCAGCTGACCCGGGCGTCCGCCGACGTCCTGTCCAAGTGCAAGAAGGCTCTGTCGGAGCACAACGTGCTGGTGGTGGAGGGCGCCCGCAAGTACGCCTGCAAGATCTGCTGCAAGACCTTCCTGACGCTCACGGACTGCAAGAAGCACATCCGTGTGCACACGGGGGAGAAGCCCTACGCCTGCCTCAAGTGCGGCAAGCGCTTCAGCCAGTCCAGCCACCTCTACAAACACTCTAAGACCACCTGCCTTAGGTGGCAGAGCAGCAACCTGCCCAGCAGCTTGCTGTGACCTGCCGGCCCGGGCCCGGAGGAGCCTCGCCGGAGGCGGGGACGCTGGGGCGGGCGGACACCGGCGTGCCGCGGTGCCGCACACAGTCTTGGCTCTGCCATTGGGGATATCCGGTACCTACCTCGCGGGTGTCGCCGCCGGGACCGCGCGGCGGGCATGGGGATGTGACCCCCGGGGCAAAGCAGCTCCTTTGCAGGGCAGAGGGGTGACAGCACGGGGGTCTCCTGAAATAGCACGGTTTCAGCACGTGCGCCTTTCTTTTGGTTTGGTTTTGGTTATTTGTTTTTTTTTTTTTTTTTTTTTTTTTTTCCCCTCCTCTCTCTTTTGTAACAGTGAAAGCATTTAAATGATTACTGTAACATGAGTTGCCGCATTATGTGAGGACAGCGGTGCACGTCCCTTACCCTTAAAACAGAAAAACAGCTTAGGCTGCTCCTGTCTGACATAGTGCTTTAAAATACGCTACTTACGACAATAGTTCTAGGATTATGAATGTATGTTTGGCTGTTTTGTAGTAAAGGACACTGTGTAATCAAGGTGCTTAAATTAAATCCCAGACAGTAACTTTGGGGCTGCCAGGTGTACATATAACTTTAATACAGCAAGATCTGGATGTTAGGCTGGCTTTTTTTTTTTTTTTCCCGTAGAAACGAGTATTAAGTGGTAAGTGAAGTACTGTCTCTTGTTTGTGCTATTCCTAGCAGTATTTTAACCAGTTTGTATCTCCTATGTTACACTTCTATATGCGCAGAGGTTTGAACAGAGCTTGTCTTTGTCTGTTGTTTTGAAGGAGAGGGGATTTGTGATGGCTTTTTTTGCCACGTAAGACAGTATCTCGCTGTTCCCAGATGCCCACAGTCCATCTGGTCCCCATTATGGCGTGAGCACGTTGTCTTTTTCTCTTATCTCCAGGCTTTAATTTCCTGCCCTGCACACTTAGTGACTTCCCTTCGCAGCTGTGGGTCTGTCCTTGGAGCAGATTCCTCCTCGGTCAGGAGCAATCCTCGTTTGCCATATTGCACAGAATCACAGAGTAGGCTGGGCTGGAAGGGACCCCTCAGGATCATTGTGTCCAGCTCCTGGCCTTGCAGGGGATGTCCCAACAATCCCATCTCGTGCCTGAGAGCCATGTGCAAATACTTCTTTACCTCAGGCAGCCTTGGAGTTGTGACCCTGTCCCTGGGGAGCCTGTTCAGTGCCAGACCACCCTCTGGGTGAGAAACCTTTCCTGATAGCCAGCCTAAACCTGCCCCGATTCAGCCTCAGCCTATCACTCAAGTCATGTCACGGTCATGAGAGTGAAGAGCTCTGTACCTGCCCTTCTGCTGCTCCTCAGGAGGATGTTGAAGAGCCCAGGGAGGTCTGACTTCAGCCTCCTCCAGGCTGAGCAAACCAAGTACCCTCAGCTGCACCTCATAAAGCTTCCTCTCCAGACCCCTCACCAGCCTCATGGCCTCCTTTGGACATTCTCCAACAGCTTGATGTCTTTTATGTGACAGTGCTCAGAATTGCCCCCAGAGCAGGGCAGGACAATCCCCTCCCTCACCCAGCTGTGGTACCCCCCAGGACATGCTCGGCCCTGCTGGCTGCCAGGGCACTGCTGGCTCATATTCTGTAAAATGTCCTTGTCAAATCCACTTAAGCCACTGTCATAAAAGTACTTCTCCCCATACATTTTTAAAAAGGATAATGTAAATTTAATTTTAGGAAATGGCACTGAGCACGTGCAGCAGAAATTTGTCATTCTCCATGTGAATCATGTAAATCTCTTTTTAATTTCCCCTTCTTTGGTGCCACTGTAACTTCATGCTGCCTGCAGTCTCCTTTCTTCCTTGGTGCACATGAACAGGTGCTCAGCATCCTTAGGTTTTAAAATAAACTTTCAGAGCACTTCTGGTGGTGATAAATCCTGCTCAGCTGAGCAGGGGCTGGGTCAGGACTGCAGTGTGTCCCTCTGCTCAGGTGAGACAGAGGATTCCCTGTACCTGCCCTATCAGCATGTCCTTTGCACCTTGACCATCTGAGGAATGCAGAAACATAGGAGATGGTTGGATTAATTCCTTTTAAATGTTAGTGTTTTGTCATAGGGTTTACTTAACGGTCATATCTCTGGCTCTTGTTTTTTTTTAAGCATTAAAATAGCACGTTTTTTTTTAAAGCAGTGGGATATGCTGTGTTTTGTTGTAAATAATTTCAGTATTGGGGACTAACAGCATTGAGCTACATAAACACTCCCAAACATCAATAAAATGCAGTATTTTGTACTTTAATATTTTCTTGTGTTGCTTAATTAAGTAACGCTCTGGTTCATCTTCATTGCATTTCTAGTGTTTTGCTTTTTAAAGACAAGGCTCGTTTTTTTTTAATTTCTGTTTCCTGTAGCACAACCAAATTTGTTGAATTGTTACAGTGTTTGGGAATAAAGCATCTCTTTGTGCAAGGAGACTAATTAGCAACTAATGTGAGCTGATAAACACTTAACTGGACTTTTGAACTGCTTTTATAAAAATGTTGATGTGGAGTATCAGTGCAGGAGGACTTACGTATTCTTTCTTTGAGGAAAAGTTTGTCCGGAGCATTTTTGGCAGCAGCAGCAGCAGCTTTAAGTTCCTTTGCCAGTTGATGTGCAGAGGGGCAGTTGCTGGCCTGGAGCCTGCAGCTGCCTCGTGGCTTTCTGAGTCTTCCTGAAAGAAGCAATAAATTCCTGGGGATAGCATAAATCAATACGTGGGTGATAATCAGTAATCAATAGCTGCAGTGAAGGGTGCCTCACCCCACAGCCTGGAGAGCTTGTGCCACTGAACTGTGCTCAGAATTGAACTCTGCAAGCGGGACCTCGCATGGAGGTGTCGGGGTGTCTGTTCCACAACACCTGGAAATAAACCCTGTGTTTTTGTGTTGCTGTGTCTGACTGGCTTCACTGGTTTGGTGCTCTCCACGTCAGCCTCTGCAGAAAAAACTGTGGCTGCCAAAGGGGTTGTAAGAACCTGACCTTGGTAATAATGTTGTTCCCGGTAGAGTTCTTTGTAAGAACTTAGTGTTGTTAATGAAATAATATCTACGCAGCCCCTGTACAGTTCATGATCCGTGGTCAGTGCTGCTCTCTGAATTCCTCATGGGAGGATGTCACAGGTGCAGGAGGTGCTGTCTCAAAGGAGTTTTGAGGTGGACACCTGAGCCCGGTGCTCCAGTCCCTGTGGCAGCTGATTTATCAGCTCCTGTCTATTTCTTGATGCACCTGGGGAATCTGACACACCTGCTCAGGCTCCGGGTCATTCCCTGTCACCACCAGGGACCACAGGACCCTCTGGGACACTCTGTCACCATCCTTCAGTGTCACGGCAGCTCCACCAGCAGCAGAATCTTCAGTGTCAGCGCTAAGGAATCTTGCAGATTCATGAGTTCCCTCACTGGACTCATGCTCTGGGTTTTCACAGCAAACTCAATCCTGATTTCCACCGGGTCACTTGGAACCTCCCCAGCCAGGTGGGATGCTCAGAGCACACTCTCTTCCTCCCTACCATCACAGCCACAAGTCTTTCCTGCTCAGTCCAGGTTACAGACCTCCAGAAATATTTGACAGGTCAACACAAGACAGTCAGCCGTGCTTGTGAATCAAAACTTATTGATGAATGTGTCCGAATTCCTCCCAGGATGCAGAGCAACTTCCGGCAGCCATTACAGCTATCAGAGAGCGCTTCACTGAGCATCCAAGACATCCCAGCAGAGCCTGGCACAAGAGATGCTGTGGGGCAGGAAGGGACACAGAGCGTGCTGGGTGAGCTCTAACTCCTGCTGCAGGCTTTGTGCCGTGCTCTGGCTCCCTCCCCACACCTGTGGGGTGCTGCTGCCTCCCTCCTGCCCATTGCATGCTCCTCGCTCCCTCCCCTTGTGCTGCCCTTCCCAAAAAGCACTGGTTCCCCGTCTGTCCCCTGCCGGGTGAAGGCACAGGGACAGTGGGGCACGGGGAAACCTGTCCAAACCCATCTGAGCACGGCTGGTCAGCCACTGGCACCACTGCCCAGCTGGACATGCCACAGGGGCTCCTGTGTCCTCCTGGGCACCACGGAGTGGGGCGATGGCGCTGGGAGGAAGAGGAGGGCTGAGGGACAGGCACAGCTCCAAAGGAACCTGGGGCCAGGTGTGCTCCTCAGCATGGTCCCTGGCGTGAGCACTGGGAGCACTGGGAGCACGGGGAGCTGGAAGGAGGCTGGGTTGAGGCCGAGCTCAAACCCCACATCACACTGTGGGGACACCCGTGGGGTGGCGGGGTGGCAGCAGCGCGTGGCTGTGACTGCTCTGTGGCACTGTCCTGTGTGCCACACGGTCACCGGTGACGGGAGGGGACACGGGGAGGGGCCATGGCCAGGTGAGTGCACACCCCAGGGGCAAATCCACCCCCAGCCTGCAGGATGAGCCAGCTGGACCCCAGGCTCCTCAAAGCTGTGGTGCCCACACCCCAAAAGTGTCCAAGGCCAGGCTGGGCAGGGCTTGGAGCAGTCTGGGAGAGTGGAAGGCGTCCCTGCCCACGGCAGGGGGGGTGAAATGAGGTGATCCATAACATCCCTTCCAACCCAACCCCTTCCATGATGCTGTGATCAGTGGCATGGAGAGGGGGGCTCCAGGTTCCAGCCCCATTTCTGGAGGTGGGACAGTGGCTGCAGGACACACAGATCCCCAAAGCCCTGGAGATGTGCCCCTCAGGCCTTCCCTGGCAGCTGGAGGCTCAGGCCCTGCTCAGGCTCTGCTCTGCACCAGCAAATGCCACTGCACACCTGAGAAACACGAGGGGAACTGCAGCCAGAACCTACAAAGGGGTAGTGACTCCCAGCGAATTCCAGTTTGGAGCTGTGCCTGGAATTGGCTATGAGTACAAAAGGCAGAGCTGGAGGTTCCTGGGGAGCTGCACAAGCCTGTTCTGTGCTTTTCTTCAGATCTCTCAAGCAGAGCATCATGTGCTGCCACCAATTCCATTGGACCACTCGATGTGTGTGCTGGCA